AGAATAGAACCTGTACATACTTAGTGTTCAGTCATCTATTTCTGCAGTCACGTCTCTGGAATTCACAGGCAAGGCAAAAGAGCAGTAAAAAGAGGTAAAAAGCTTTTCAAAGACAGCTTGCAGAACTGTGTCAGTGCATGCAACACTAAAAGCACAAGAACGAACAAGAATTAGAAATGTAATCTACAAAGCATACTTAGGATATCATGTTGTTTTGCATATAAAATAGAAAGCTAACTTCAACGGGGGAAATTGGTTTGGAGGGCCTGGGTCTCTTCACACTCAAGTTTTAAGGAGACTAACTCTCAGATCAGAAGACAGAAATTAGAAGAGATACGTGTGTATGTATAATTTCTTCCTTTCCAGAGTGAAAGGAAATTCTCTTCTTTCATTTCATTGTACTGCTGTGAAATATTTCAGCTGTTTTAGAAGCTAAACTTAAATATTTTATGTCATTAGTCATTTTTGATTACTGTCAATTCCAAGATTAAAGCATATTTTGATAACTATGACAGCATTATTAAAATAAAGTGTTTGGGAATTTAGATTTTCTGTTGCAAGCAGTAAGAACAACATCTTGGAACTGGCTTAGACAACAAAGGAAATCTTCGGAGAAACATAACTGAGGCTTCTGGGAGCCTCTGGCCAGCTCTACCGAGGACGCATGTCACCAGGTCTCATGTCTCTGCTTTGCCTCCTGTGGGTTTACCTTATACAGTCTAGCTTCCATCGTGATAACAAAGTGGCTGTAGATGTTTCAGGCCTGGCATCACACACCACTAAGCCCAGGTGAAAAGAACTGGAGCTTCAGGAGAACATCTTGTTAAGGAGAGAAGCTGATTTCCTGGAAGCCCCAGTAAACCATGTTTTTCCTATTACTGGCTCACCTGGTTTATATTCCTATCTTATCCTATCACTCTGGCTTTCCCTACCCCCTAAGTGGTTTCTTCTAAGAGCACTATTTCAATAAATCACTTGCACCTGAATCTTTGACTCATCAGCTCCTTGTGGTGAAATCCTCTCTGTGAAACAAAGGCTGTCCTTGAATTCCCTGGGCTGTTTCTTCCCACCCTGCCTCCTGTCTCTGCAAAAGCTCATACATCATCCTGTGAACAGGACACTTGCTTACTCATCTTCTCACACACTGCCTCTCCCAGGTTCTGTGCTGCTTCCCCTCGACCCACCCAGCCTTCCCCTTCTGTTGTTCCTTTCAAAGCTCTTCCCTCATCAGGGGTTCGAGACCAGCGTGGCCAACATGGTGAAACCTTGTCTCTATTTAAAAATACAAAAATTAGCCAGGCGTGGTGACGTGCACCTGTAATCCCAGCTACTCGGGAGGCTGAGGAAGGAGAACTGCATGAACCTTGGAGGCAGAGGTTGAGGTGAGCAGGGAGCGCACCATTGCACTCCAGCCTGGGCGACAGAGTGAGACTCTGTCTCCAATTAAGAAAAAAAAAAAGCTCTTCCCTGTGTCCTCTGAAAACATCAATAGACGATAAACTGCCTGTTACCCACAGCCTGCTCTGATTCCTGCTGCCTTCCAGCCTCAGCTGGAACTCAATTCTTTCCCCAAAGCACCATTTCCCCATCTCCTTTTTCTCGAGAAGAGTTGCTCATTTTCCCATCTTCTCTCCACACTGGAATCTGAAAATAAAGCTGGCAGTCTCTTCAAACAACGGTGCTCTTTCCAAGCCATTGCTCTGTATCTTTAGGGAATCTATATCTCACTGTGGGAATCTAAATTTATTGTAGAGTGACCCTTGCTCCTACACAAAAGGGTAACAGGGAGTGTCAATTGTATTTAATTTGAATGGGGCATATCTGGTTGGGTTAGAGTATTAGTACTTTTATGGGTCAAATATTTAAGAAATACTTGTCACTTCGGTCATCTGAGCTTTTCTATGCCTCTTTCTCCTCTTATCTACTAAATTCTTATCAGCAAATCTAAAACTCTAGGAAAAGACAAGAATTCCAAAACCAGTTACTTCTACTGCACTCAGCCTAGTATTTTCACAGATAGATTCCTGCATGTATCACCCAGAGCTTTCTATTCCACCCCTGAACTCACAAACTCAGAACATACTACACCAATGGAATTCTTCATAATCTGACCACTCCTCTCCTTTCTCTTTTCCCACCACACTAACAATATTTCTAAGCTCTGACGCCATCAATTTCACCCTTTTCACTTATTTTCTGTAGTAAATACATATTATATTTATGTAACATACTTACATATTTCTGTATTGTAATATGATGGAGATACATATAGATATTTCCTGGGTCTTTTACAAAAGTGATTTAACTTTTTTTTCCCTTTTTTTTTTTTAAACTAAGTTCATTTTCTTTGTTGCCAAGTTGATATAAATACAGAGCTACTAGCTTAGTGTGCATGTAATTAGATCAGGCATATAATTAGTCAATTTGTAAATAGAAATATTACAAAAGTCAGGCATAGTAACATTAATTTTCTGTAACTGACAGGACATTTTAGTGATCATAGTTAAGGGATGTAGAGTATGGGACAGAAAGAAAAGGCAAGATATTTTTTTCTTCAGAAGGTGTTCTTGGTGATGCCTCTAATCTATGTTAAATTAGATAGAAAGGATCTCATTTCTCAAAGATGGTCTCTAGGACAGTCCTGGATAGCCGTGGAGAAGACATCCCTCCTGAAACAGACGTGTTAAAGTAAAAAAGCTCCAAGTATACCTTTGCCTATCTTTGGTTTGTATCTTAATTTCTTATCACTTGGTAATTAGTAGTTTCAACTCTAAATGGCTGGTAAGGAGCAATGTGCAATAACAGATTATAAGGTTCCAAGATCAAGGACTAATGAAAAACAAGCCCCCACCTCTTACTCAGAATTTTAAAATGAGCCTCTGAGAGGACATTTAACAGTTTTTACAGAGAGAAAAATATCTGACTCTGCAGTTATTATAAGAAGCTGCACCTGCTAGCTGCATTCTAGTCTCTAACAGAAAAAGATGCGATAGAGTACATTTACCTCAGATACCTGCTGGAAATGAATATCCAGAGAGAAGCAAGCCTGCAAGGGTGAAGCCTATGCTGAAAAAGAGGAATATGCATTCTCTTGAAGATGGTAGGGTAACAGGGGCCTGCAAATATATACTGGGAACTTTAGCTGGGGCTAAAGTAGAGGGATTTTGAACATATCAACACCACAACTGAGTATCAAGGAAAGGTGTGTATGTGTTATAAAGATAGTATTGTGTTAGAAAGGAGAGTCTGAAATTATAGTAAGCCAGAATAGCAGGATTTTTCAGGTGGCATGTTTATAGCCCCAGTTAAGTGGAATGAACTTCAATCTTTTTTCTTTTCTATGAGAGTCAGGTCAGAGTCCTAGGGAGGGAATACCTAACAGCTAGTCTTATCTGAGAGAAGAATAAGGAGGAAGGAATTTTTCTTGAGTAGGCAATTGGTCTTCCCAGAAATTAAGTCAGGAAGCAACTGGCTCTCTGATAGCCCCTAGGCTGCAGCTATGTAGCTGCTTGGAAAAGAGGTGTTTATTCCTGCTAGGCAGGGGAAAGTTTTGCATGCCTGCAGTCAGAAGTCAGACAGACATTTGAAGCCTCAAAGAGGATGCTGGTTATGTAACTCAGAACAAACGCTCCACTCCTGGGTGAGTCTCTAGGAAGTCAGAGTTCGCATGACAGCCTCAGGAGGAAGAACACCGCATCTGATGCCTTACTACGTGACCTACCCTGGTTACAGACCAGAGCAAGGAGAAGCCACCCAGGATCGTTGGTTAATGATCAAAATATTCAGACAGCTATGGTCTCCTTTAAGCACCTGGAAGAAAACTCAACACAGGAATTGGTTTCTTTCCCAGCTCAGGTCAACTGATAGAGCATCCTGGTGGGTCACACGCCAAAAGTAGGCAGAGCCTTCATTCACGGATTCATGTAAGAGCCACTAACCTTCAGGTTATTCAATATTATTATATAGGAAATTACTTGTCTTTTACATCTACATTCTGAAATAATATTTATTAAACACTTTCTACATACCAGACGCTTTGCTAAGTACTTTAATACATTTCATTTAATCTTCACAGCAATCCTAGGAACTTCTATCTACCCACATTGTACAGATTTGGAAACTGGGCCAGAGAAAAATACACAAATGGTTAATGATGAAGTCGGTGATTGCATCAAGGATGATTTGACTCTGTAAACCTTGACCACCACACTTTATTACATCTTTGAATTAAAATATGCTTATAAATGGGATATGACACCAATTTACCATTTTGGACAGAAATTATTTCCTACATATTTCTAGGAAATAGGGAAACTCAAGTTTGCTTTGTCAAGTACCAATGACACACACAAAAAACTAAGTTCCCCGTGAATACTTTTTTCTATTGTTCAAAGTCCCAAACAATAGAAATCCAATGAGAATTGAATCTAAACTTTTTCAACCTTTTTTTAGGTATCAAAAATGACATAAACTTAATGATTCTCCCTTGAGACAGTGGAAATATCCAGGAGACTTCTAAGTTTCTTGTTTTAGAATTCAAAGATCACGATTCTTCTGCAAGATAACCACAACTACTGTCCTTTTGCTTCTAACCAAGAATAGAAAGCAGCGCATCCTTGGGGCAGTTAATAAGCCTCTGTCGTGTAACTAGATAGACAATTACAAGTAAGAATACACCCTCAGAGATTTGTTTAAAGGTCCCAGATAATTTTCAGAACAAACATTGCTCATCCCTCCTTCACTGTCTTATTAGAATGTTCGGCCTTTTCTTCATTTTTGCTAAGTTCTTTTATTTGAAATATATCAGCATGTTCAAGAAAACCTCTTACTAAATATTTGTTTGGCACATATGCACAATATACAGTATGTGCACTAAATCCATTTAAAAGATCAGTCACTCATTTTTTCCTAACAAGAAAATAAAGTGTCAAGTAACAACCACACATATTTATTCATGCCCACTTTTAAGTTCTAGGCATAAATAACTTAGAAATCCTTACCTTACTTAGAGATTCATACCTTCTAGTCAAATGCTAAGTGATCCGTAAGAATAAACATTGAATTCAGCTATAAGTTTTTCAGAGATCAAAGTCTAAGGTACATTTGGCTAGTTACCTATGACAGACCAACGAAATGAATCACATGATCACCAAGGGCTCCCTCCTTCATTCTAAGCCCCACCCAGATCTGAGTCTGTACAGATCTGAAAAGTCCAGAAATTAGAAGACGCAGTTTCAGATAATGTATTGAAACAGCTAAGCACTGACCTGTGGGAACAGTGGGACTCTGGTTTCCATGCTGTGATGTCAGTTTCGCCATCACGCGATGCAGGGAACTTCCTGAGGTGGGACTGCCTGTGACTTGTCTAGTTTGCTGCAGATTTGTAAAGAAAATTGTGTAGCTGGCTGCAGTGGGTTCTTTGAGAAAGAACATTACCCTACACAAAGTTCATCTGCACCTACAATTCTCATTGCAGTTCTGGTTGCTAGAACATCCAAGCTTAAATGCAGCTTCAGAGAAAAGCCTTCTTTGTAAAGACCTCCCTGAATTCCACACAGAGTCAGGCAGTGCCCAGCCTCTATGGTATCATATTGCTTAATCTCTCTCTCCCTCAGAGTCACATGCATGCACACATGCACATGCAACAGATGCTAGGAGTCATGCTTTTCTCATTGCTGTATCCCAAACAACTACCACTGACTAGCACATAGCAGTTGGTCAATATCTGCTTGTTGAGTACACGCGAGCTAAAGTAACAAAGTGAACAAAAAAGTACCTTAGGAGGACAATAAACGGAACCCTTCTGTCTGGGACAAAGGATGCCATCCAAGCCTTTGCACAGTACACAAATCCCCTGATCATATAATCACAGGGGCCTGTGTAGCTTAATAGCCTTGGTGTCTTACTCACCACATCAGCATTAACTTCCTGCCACACGTGGACACTCAGGAGAGAGGACAAGGTACATTCGCGAAGCTCTTCCTTTCCTCTTCCCCATCACTTACCTTGACTTCTTTCTTCTACTCAGTCATCCATAGTGAGCCTTCTGCTGCCCACTGGAAACTGGGTGGAAAGCCCCAGGGCCCTTCCTAGAATCCCCAAAGTCACCCATGCCAACTTTTATCATTATTAATAAGATCCATTATGAAATGAAATCAAAATCAAACTGGGACTTAAAAGATGCAGGCAATGCCTGCTTTCGCCTCTGAATCTCTATGGCCATGTAGTTAATGGTACATCATGCCACTGTAATATTAGTTTAGGGGAAAAGCTGAGCTCCTAAAGCATACACATGATGACTCTCGTGGAATTTGAAAATAGAAGAATTACCAATTTTTTGAAGTTTTAGGAAGAAATACCACATGCATACAAAGATGTTTGTTATGCAGCGATTGTTTAAGCTGACGTTAAAACTAGAATCATGGTTTTAAATAACATCAATGACTGAGAAAGAACAATTTCTCTGAGATTTATGTCACAGAGAAAGTGAATATAAAATGTATGCCACCACTGAAGACTAGATAAACAGTTTTAGGTGACAAACCTTTCCCTTGCAATGTATTCATCACTTCAGGAAGGGGTACCTGAAAGGAAGTAGGATGAACCATTAGGACCCTACATTGGGGGAACCTATAGGGCCATTGCGTGCAAGAGTTCAACTGTTAGGCTTTGAGATCTGTTACCACTTCACTACTTTTGGTTATCCTCTGCAAAGTGCCTACACGATGTCTTCAAGTGCCCGGGAGAAGAAATGCCCTATGGAATATTGTTAGCCCTGATTATATCTATGCACATGCACCTACACTAAGGCTCAGAGGACAATTTAAAGTGATGTTGGCATTTAACAGTTATTAAATTGGCAAATGTTCTGAAGAAATAAAAGGGTCACTGTCATGTAACTTGAGGATGTGAGAGTAGCTACTGGGTGCATCCTGAGATCAAATAGGGCTGAAGTTAGTAATCTGGAGTCTTTCAATTGTCAAAATAACTGCAGAAGAAAGTGAATTTGAACTCGAAAGCCGAGAGGTGGACAGACATGCCTAGAATGTAAATCTTAAATTGGTCTGAGAGGCATATTAGGCATTATAGTCCTCATATATTAGGCATTTACTGAATTGGTTCAATCAATATTTATTTCTAGCAAAAAAAAGTCTTCTAATATTTCAGCTATTAAAAAGCTTAAGGTGTTAAACTCACATATCCATTTTCCAACATGCTAAGTATGGTGCTTGTCATTCTTTGTGCGTGTCATGCCTTCCTGGTCCATTGTTCCTGTAAAAGAAAATAAAGTAATGTAGGCCTAGACCAGGCGCCCCCAAGCTACGGCCCACGGGCCGCATGCAGCCCCCTGAGGCCATTTATCTGCCCGCCCCCCCACCCCCCCCCGCCGCACTTCAGGAAGGGGCACCTCTTTCATTGGTGGTCAGTGAGAGGAACACAGTATGTGGCGGCCCTCCAACGGTCTGAGGGACAGTGAACTGGCCCCCTGTGTAAAAAGCTTAGGGATGCCTGGCCTAGGCATTAAAGTGGAATCAAAAGATCAAGAGAGAACTGTACTCATACCTGCTAAAGGTCAAGCCACAGAAGGTTCCAAGAGTCTTGGATAACACCTGAAGTCAGAATCCGCCGGCCTTCAGCATCTCTCAGCTGGGAGTACCCTAATTAACTAACAATTCAGAACAGGTCGGCAATTTGAGATTTCTGTCTAGCCCATGAATTGCCCCCCAAAACAACGTTTTGAGGAAATCTCCTATTAAAAACCTGAGCTTGCCTTAAAGGACACTATTTAGTGTTGCCCTAATTCAGTGTACTTAAATTGCAATTCTTTTTTCCCAAATAAACTCTATTTTCTTTGGCATCTGTGTTAATTTTTTTCTTAGTTAATATAACTATAGAACCACCACATCAGTGCAGGGGCTTCCTGAGCCCTTCTCGATGGTCCCGGTGACCTGATCTTATTTCTTTGTTTTCCTGGTATTGCTACATGTCCGTGTCCCGGGTCTACAATAGCAGCAACCACTCTCAGTTTTGCAGTGAGCTAGCTTTTAAATTGCTTCAAAGTGCTTTTATAACTCTCTTAATGATCATTCTGGGAAACAGCCAGGGTAGGTGGTTGTCCTGCCTCATTTAGGATGAGGAAACAGGTACTAAGAGTGAACAAATGATGCACCTAATGAGTAAGTATCAAAGTTGGGAATTACGTTAGACTCCTGCCATACCCCTCTCACATCCCCTCAGCTCACCTTTTAGTCCTGGCCATTGTTGAGGCAACAGGCTCTATACAGGTGCCCTTACCAGTACCTCATCCCAGCTGTACTATGCATCTGTCTTGTTATCCCAGGGATTCTCTGCTTTCTAGTGTGACTCCTAAACCAGTGTTAATTTTGGCCTGTGGCGGTCACTCTGCTCCCCTGTTTTGTCTCTGGTTGACAATCCTGAAGGGTCTTCTATGTGGTTCCTTAAAGCATTCCCACCAAGACTAAGACCCAGTTACTCATAGGCATAGCCAGCTGAACAACACATGCTTGGATTAGCTCTCCCTCTTTGCTGTTTTACTCTTGTCAAGGGCCCCTCCCCGGTTCCCTGGATTTACTTCCCAAAATAAAGTACTTGCTTTTCTTTTGCAAATTTAAGTGTCTTATAGATGCCAGATATTAGACCTTTGTCAGATTCATAGTTTGCAAATATTTTCTCCCATTCTGTAGGTTGTTTACTCTGTTGAAAGTCGCTTTTGCTATGCAGAAGCTCTTAAGTTTAATTAGATCCTGATTATCAATTTTTGCTTTTGTTGCAGTTGTTTTTGGTGTCTTTGTCATGAAATCTTTGCTTGTTCCTATGGAAGGATGGCATTGCCTAGGTTGTCTTCCAAGGTTTTTATAGTTTTGGGTTTTACATTTAAGCCATTAATTCATCTTGAGTTGATTTTTGTATACAGTGTAAGGAAAGGGTTCAGTTTCAATCTTCTGCATATGGCTGGCCTGTTACCCTAGCACCATTTATTGAATAGGGAGTGTTTTCCCCATTGCTTGTTTTTATCAGCCTTGTCGTAGGCGTGTGGCCTTATTTCTGGGCTCTCTATTCTGCTCCACTTGTCTATGTGTCTGTTTTTAACCAGTACCATGCTGTTTTTGTTACTGTAGCCTTGTAGTATAGTTTGAAGTCAGGTAATGTGATGCTTCCAGCTTTGTTCTTTTCATTTAGGATTGCCTTGGGTATACAGGCTCTTATGTGGTTCCATATGAATTTTAAAATAGTTTTTTCTAGTTCTCTGAAGAATGTCACTGGTAGTTTGATAGAAATACCACTGAATCTGTAAATTGTTTTGGGCAGCATGACCATTTTAATGATATTGATTCAATCTATGAGCATGAGCTGTTTTTCCATTTGTATCATTGATATCTGAGCAGTATTTTGTAATTCTCATTGTAGAGATCATTCACATCCTTGATTAGCTGTATTCTTGGGTATTTTGTTGTTTTTTTGACAATTGTGAATGGGATCACCTTCCTGATTTGGCTCTTAGTTGGGCTTGGCTGTTTTTGGTGTACAGGAATGATAGAGTGATTTTTCTACACTAATTTCATATCTTGAAACTTTGCTGAAGTTGTTTATCAGATGAAGGAGCTTTTGGGCTGAGACAATGAGGTTTTTAAGCTATAAAATCATGTCATCTGCAAACAGGTAGTTTGACTTCCTCTTTTCCTATTTGGACGGCCTTTATTTTTTTGTCTTGCCTAATTGCTCTGGCTAGGAATTCCAATACTATGTTGAAAAGTAGTGGTGAGAGAGGACATACTCGTCTGGTATCAGTTTTTAAGGTGAATGCTTCCAGCTTTTGTGCATTCAATGTAATGTTGGCTATGGGTTTGTCATAAATGGCTCTTATTATTTTAAGTTCCCCAATACCTAATTTATTGAGAGTTTTTAACATAAAGCGATGTTGAATTTTATGGAAAGCCTTTTCTACATCTGTTGAAATAATCATTTTTTCCCCCTTTAATTCTGTATATGTGATGAATCACATGTATTGATTTTCATATGTTGAGCCAAACT